AAACAAAAGATTAGCCTTCAACTTGAAGGGGGCTAAACTGTATTTGACATGGTGCCATACTTCTCCTTGGTATTTATTTTAGTTTCAAGTACAGCTCAAATGGCATGTGCAGACTACCAAAATATCATACCATGGTAAAAGTAAACACAGCCCCTTTAATTTAACAAATTCACACTGATCGGAGGGAGCCAGTGGAGCTCCTTTTTCTTGCATTTGCTGGTACAGAGTAAATGAGTGTAGCGAGTGAATACTGGCATTAATCAAGGAGCTAAACATTTTTTTTAGCTCCATGCATTAATAAACTGCCATGATTTGTACACATTTCACTCATACAGTACAATGTCTCTGTGGAATAAAGACACTTAATGCCAAGGTTTCACCTTGTGCCAGATATATTGTATTATTCCACTCCTTGTCAGTGTAGCAGTGATCCAGAACAGAGTTTTGTGTCCAGCACCCCCCCCCCCTCCCCTAAAAATACATTACTACAATGAGCCGTAACATAATTAGTCATTCACTGGGAATAATTTAAAAAAAAATCATATTAGTCCACTATTAAGGCACCCTAGGGAGGGCAACATGTTCACTAAGGCTCCCTTTGTGTGTCTGAAAAAGCAAAGAACATTGTAAAATGTCCATCTTTTTCTATTGTATTTTTTTGCACACATGTATAAAACAACTCAATTATATGACTTACAAACAGATTAGGACACGTATCCATCCAAACCTGAGAAAACAAAGCAACTGTAGCCATCAAACTGCTACAGGCTATCTGAAAACTCTCTACTAATGAGCCTAACGTATACCATTACATACTATTTTTCTCTCCAATGAGTTAGCATGAAAATCTGTCAAAAGTAGGTGGAGGTATGGTAGGGTAGGGTAGGGTTGGGTTGGGTAGGGTGTTGTGGGATGATTTGGGGTGGGGACGGTGTTTAGGGAAAATAATGTTCTCTCACTGAATGATACAAAAACATTTTCTATATATTTTTTTTTATCAATGACAGATGTGCAAGCATTATCATCATCATCATCATGTCATTACTTATTCTTACATCACACTCAGAACAAAACCATTAACCTCCATCAAGGTATAGGTGAGATCATATTGTGAAATTGATGAGACACTAACAAAATACCCAGTGTTGTCAGATTCAAATGATCAGCAGAGTTGACAGAACGAATTTTTAGCAGTACAGATACAAGAGATATAAGCTCACTTCAAAGAGACTGATGTGATAATGAACAAATATTGTTCAACATGCACATTTTGAGCTTCAACTTAAGAGAAAATTAGATCTTGAAATGGGATGCTTTTTTTTCAGTTTAGACCACGTTTGGAAACAGAAAATATTACATAGTTTTGTAGTAGAATCGTGAGAATGACAAAATGTAATCACCAACAGAGAGATTTTAGATATTTCACTATGTATTTTTGTTTCTTTAAATAGCAAATTGATCAACAAAATAGTTTTGTTAACTTTAAAATTCTGAATTGTTATTACAGTTAATTATACTTCACAGTAAAAAAATTAACATGTTCTAAATGAGTAATATTTAACCATATGTGTCTCTTAACACAAGGCTCAACATCCTTGAAAATCAATGATTTATTGCAAGTCAAACTCTGACTTCCATGTTGTTAAAAATTCAGAGGTCAATGACATTTCTGGACTGGGCATGTACATCCCATTAGCAGCATGTTCCCAAAGTTACAAAATTATGTTCCATATTAATGGGCAGAGTTAGTGAACCATGAAACAGATTTCATATTGTAAATCCTGACAGCAAGAAGGATATAATACAGCAAAATTAAATACATAGAGTAAAAATTAATGCCAAACAGCTAGAGGGTGTTTGGAGACAAAAATGCCAGAAATAGTAGGGTATGTTTTTTTTATACAGTAGCTTGGCATGCAGGACATTGGGATTGTATTACAAGTGCATATGGAAGTCAGAAGAAGTTGCACACATGTGTATCCTATTTTAAGACCAAGAACGGTGCTGTGATACTGTGATTTCAAAGACTGATAAAACTTTACAATCAACTTTTGAAAGGCCATCTAGAGGAAGACCGCTTTCATCACTGATACCATGTTATGGCATAAAGAGGTTCGGAAATGACAAGACCAGTGTCAAACATGGACTATCTGATTATCAAGGACGGACAAGCCATACAGTTTATAATGGCCACTACTGAAATCCTTCCCCCCCCCCCCCCCGCCACACAAAAAAGGACTTCCTATTGACACCATCCCACTACTGGCAATTAACAACTACTGTATTGATAATTAGCCTAACAATGAAAGGCATGATAATTGAAGGAAAGTTATAAATTGTTGAGGCCAGTGGTAGGACAAGAGAAATGGTAGGTGGTGATTACTTTCAACATCAAGCTTCAAGGTTGTAATTCACATGTCAAGAATGCACACCTACTTGTCAACATAGTTACTGTCTACATTAAATAGATTCTGAAACACATAAAAAAAAAAAATATTTTTTCTGCATTTGCCGATTTTCATGTTGCTACTGGGTGGAAACCACAAATTCTTCAATTAGTTTTATACATGACAAGCTAATTTTTTTAAAAATTGTTTGATTTTTGTATACAGTATATTAACACGACTCGTATAATTAAAATGAATTATTGGGAGAAGTGTTCACCCACTACTATACAAAAACTGTTCGTAGGAAGAACAACATGATATCTCTATACATGTTGCTATGCTGCTGGATTAAAATGACTCACACTTTAATAAGCTCCTACACAAATGCAAATTTCTAGTTCATCTTTTGAAGTAAAGTGCAGTTGGAAATCTCACAAGCATGTTAGAGATCAGATGAGCAAGAATCAACTGAAAGACGAAGCACAAAATGAAAAGCGGGGCTTCCTCTGAGTGAAGCACTGGATTGATCCACTTTATATTATCCTATGCCTATTTTTACCCGTATGGGTATAATAGCCAGAAATATTTCTCCACCCAGAGCAATTTCAAATATTTTATAACAAGCCTTGTCATCTTCAATTCTTTATTCATTAGCCGTGCTACGCTGAATTTCCGCCATCTGTCAGACAGTTTCAGTGAACCAAACTTCCTTTTATTGGCTGCAAACCCATGCAATGTTTGGAATGGAGTGGCATGGTGGGTAAACTCTGGCCCGGTTATAGCCCCCTGGCCCGAGCCTTCAAAGGAAGAAAACAAGTAAGGAGAAAAGAGGTAGTTGTTTGGCAAACACCACATGATAAAGAGCCGTATAGTATTCAATGCTTGTAACACTGTATTGTCAGATATGAATGGGTGCTTGGGTGTTGAGGCTATGAAACCCATTGGTGTCACAACTACCTAAATAGCGTGCTCAAAAGTACAGGTAATTCAGAGAATCTATCCATCGCACTCTACTTTTAAACACACTATATCTTTATAATAATATGCAAACCAACGATAAGTATAAAAAAAAACTTTTATACTGCCATTTAACTGTGGCCACACATGCGAATTATTTGTTTCATTTCGCTGCAATCAACCGATGTACACAAGCATATTTTGAGCTCTTTCAATTGTTACTGTGAGATATTCGAAATGAACATACCGATTGTATAAAATCACTTTCTGATTAAACCTACACAATTTTTTAAACATTACAAAAACTAGTTTAGCTCGTTCTATTATGTATCTTAAATTCTATCATATAAAGTATATTTTGTCTAAAAAAAATTAAATCTTGCTCTAAAAGGTGGATGGCCATCTTTAAATTATTTACTTCATATGACCACCTAGGGGGAGTGAAACTCTATTTTTTACTACGAACACTCCAGATCAAGGGAAATGATATCATAATGAGGTTGTACAAATTACAGGAACTCCATGCAATTCAAACTCATTTACAGTAATGTTTTGGGGCTTCTCATCATGACTTCCCAGCATGCTTCATGAACATCATCATTCTGAATTAGAGTGGACCAACATGGAGGCACAACGGGGTAAGAGAGAGAGAGAGAGTGATCAGTCATCTCAAGTATCTGGCAAAATATACAGACCGCGAGTACAGGTGGAACACAATTTGTCCAGTGGCATAATATGAAACCGCCTGAGGGGCGGGTAGGAAAGATGATGCAAGACGCATGTCAAGTGGCATAATACAGGTTGTAATGTCTCAAAGACTGGTAAGGGCAAGATGTGGCATGTGTGAGTATGTTAGCTGGCATGGTACTGACTGTACTGGGTACTGGGGGGGGGGGGGGTAATGTAATATACATGGCATAAAGTTGTTTGAAACTGGTGAACTAGGTGGAACCAGATGTGACATAGCATTATAGTAGGTGGGCAAGAAAATGCAAATGATCTCTGGTTGGTGCAAGATGATGTAGTTCAATGGTTTACCATTTCATTGTTAAGTTGCAGCTGCTCATCTTTCAAGTACATATAAGAGGTTTCAGCGACACAGACAACTTTCCAAGTCATCCTTAAATTTGCTTGTGATATCATGTGATCTTGCGTCATGAATAATGTATCTGAAATGTACACCATCCCTAGACATCTACACAAGACTGACTCTCTTTAACAATTTAAAGCCTTCATCGATAAGGTCAAATAGATGGATCTCTTCAAATATAGCAGCCACGCTAAGCACAACTTTGGCAATTTACTCTTTTGCTACCATGGCAACGTAACTGATCGCCCAAAGTGATACATTATATTTCAATACACTGGTGTAGGTGAAAACAAATAAATTGGTGTATTTGCACTGAATAATAAATATATATGTGAGTGGAATAGCATCAGGATCACAGGAAAGACAACACTAGCATTTCACAATACAGTGTCTAAATAATGGTTTGCCATTTAACAAGGAAATCAGCTTTATCTTGGGGATGAACACTACAAAACATGGTAAACTTTTAATGAAAGGATCTCAATCAATATATAACATGCAATTTACACATTTAAAAAAAAATCTTTAATGGATAATTAAAGACTACATTAAAGCTGAATACTTACAAAGAATGTTAAGTTCCGCTCCCTGGCTGGTTATTTCCGTTCCTGTGAGTACATTTCTTGCAACACAAACAAACACACCAGTATCATAATCTTTAGATACTTTTGTAAAAGTTAAAGAACTACCGTCCATGTATCGACGAGAACTATTACCGAAAGTTATTCCATCGTGAGTCCAACGAAAAACTATATCAGCTGGATTGTTGACGATGCAAGTCAGTGTCGCCGTCTCCCCATCCTTCACGTCATAACCCACAGGTTGTTGTGTAAAATAAAAATTATTATTCTGTGCTGCTACATTTATCACACCTATGAAGAGATTGAGACATGAAAAAGAAATGTCATCCATCTATTTATTAAAATGAATGAGGTGAAGCTAGACAAGAATTATTATCACTGATTTTCCATTACTGCCTACAAATGAGTAATTTCTTGAATCTATTTCTGGGATGTGTTGAAGCCATGACAATACATGTACATCACGGTTTGGACTTCAATATTGCGAGGGCAACCACAATTTCACAACCAACATTTCTAAAAACCGTTAAACTGATTGAAATTGATGAGTGTTTTCAATCTATGGGTAATTCACTGTGCAGTTTCACATTGCAGACTCAAATTTGTCAACTTCATGGTGGAATTTCAAAAAATAATTTTCCTTTGGACTTTCAAAAATTGTGAGTCGGATAGGTTTTCTGGATTGCTTTTGTATATTTTAACAAAACAGCGGGGATATTATTGGCGTCACCATGCTTGTTAAATTCTCTGTAATTTAGTGCCATCCTTATGCATGCAGAACACACTGTCAAGCTTATCCCCATGAAGGAATACCCTTCAAGTAAAGACGCCGCCATTAGCACAGCAATAAGTAGTTAGGATTAGACTGGTAAAAATGCCATGAATACAAAGGTCAAGCAATTACTACTACTGCTGTGTGAAATAACAGCCTCTATTACAGCAACACTGAAATTCCTTATACTACCGACACACTGAAAACTGTCAATAAACCAGTGAAAAAACGAAGATCAGCTTGAAATATTTAAAACATAATGGCTGTACAGAACTTACCGTTTGACTCTTAAAAATGATACACTTAAAGACAGATTTGCTCACAAGTGATGAACATTGTCACTGACAGGTTTAACTTCTATTTAATTTTAGCATGCGATATGCAGGACGACTTATTTTACGCATTTCAATGGTTAATGAATTTTGATAGCTTGATATAATTAATTATTTAAAATACATGTACTTTAACTTCACAAAAATTACTAGTTACATACACAACCATGAGTTTCCGCAAAAAAAAAATTAAACTTACACATAGACAATGTGCAACAGACGAACCAAATGATTTCTTTTTTCAGTCAACACAAAAATAGACACACCATCGTTGCAATCAGTTATTTTTTCATTCATGATATGCATATCACAAACCTACTTAAACATAGCTTTTTGTGCTGCATTTATTGATGCCTGGGTCAACTGATTGACCCTACCATGAAAAAAGAAAAAAAAAAGCTTTCAAAAAAGAAAATGCCTTTGACCTCCAGGGTTACACATACAGCAAGAATAAATATATTTCTTATGCTGATGAGGCTAGTTCACAATTATCTTTAGCCATCGCATTCAAATGCTTTGTCAGTGTTCTTTACCTATAATTCCATTATGTCAAAACAAGTCGCAAACAAAACAGTGAAAAAATCAGAAAACAATGAAAGGCTTTAACGATATTATCAGTTTCTCTCTGTCAATACAACACAGATACTGCATTATTATCAGGAACTACTTTTCTCTTTTGTTATTCAGGCTTTGTGCTAATATCAAGGTTTTTTTTCTATCATCTGTCATATACTACACTTTAAACTGCTGTAATATGCCCAACTGTCTCTGAATACTCTGTTTATCAAGGTTTTTTCTCTCTACTCCATTCAACCATTTGGGGACACTTCAGTGATTCCTACTAACAGGCAGTTTTAATTGCATTCAGCACAACTGCAGCATGATGCTAGCTAAGACTCCATCTGTGTGTTTGTACACAAGCAACATGCTGGATTTGCTAAAACCAGATTTTAACAATTACAAGTCCAGTTGAAAAATCATGAATCAACAATTCTCATCTCAAAATCTAGTGATTTCTCATTTCTGATCTATCCTTAAAAAGTCATATCAACGCAGAATAAAGAACATATTTTTCTCCAAGATGACAACCCCCACATGCGTGACATTATATATTTTCAAGTTTCAACGCTTTACAGGCAGTGTTTTTTTTTTTTTTTAAAAGCACAGTTGGAAGCAGCTGCGGTCAAATAAAATTGCATTTTTGGTCTGTTATGAGTATAACATGATTATGAACGACTAAGGGAATTGTAGTCTCCTTTTTTAAACTGAAATATATATTGACAATTATAAAATACCACTCTTAAAAGCTAAACAAGACGAGATTTGTATCCATGCTAATTTCTACACACATGTTGTAGTGTTTCGGAACCAAGCATGGATTCTGTGAAAGCAGACAGGCCCATGTGTTTGTTTTACACCAAACCTAAAAGCCAAGGACACTGACTCCATAACTTATGCACTTAACTTGTGGGATTCCTGGCAATCATCTGCCACTGATTTTCAAATAGAAGTAATTTTGTTCTATGTGAAAACACATTGGCAGAAGACTAAAAAAAAAATCACAATTGGTAAACTTTTAAGATTTTTTGGTTTTAAAATAGGGCCAAGGGTAAACTATCAACCATGGTGTCGAGCGTTAGTTGACATAGAAAAACACAAGAGCACAGCAGATATTTAAATTTCTATAATATGTTTAATATGACATTGACTCTGTTACTGACATTTTAGATTTTAAACGCAGCATTCAAAAAAAATAAATAAATAAAGACAGTACCCCTGTACTAGATCAACCATCGCTATCGTCCTTTCAAATAAAAGAAGGCAATCAAGTCATTAATATAAATGTGATCCAGTTCGACCAAGGTTTCATGGACGGTCACTCGAATCAGGTGATGATTGTAAACACTTAAAACGGCATATGTCTGTAGCACGGCACATCTTGTTTTCGCTACAGTCGTTATAGACCCATGGATAAAATTTACTTGCGCCCAGTGAAGTGGAATCAAATCCAAAGAAAGTCTCCGTTTTAGTCGATTCAATCGAAAACAAAAGAGCCCCCCGTCTATTTTGAATATAGAATTGTTCTTTTATGATGCCGAGGTTGAGCTATGTCCGCATACAAATGGGAGCTGCTTGTATGCTTGGCTTCGCCGGACACTCGCCTCACATCACACTTTACTTACCTATGAAAACTACTGCTAAGTACAGCTGAAAAATCCTAATATCCAGTCTAGCTGTGATCTTGATGGCCATTTTCAGCCCTGCTCCGTACTTTCCGTTGCATAGATAGTTTGATTTTTCGCAACGGAGACGGCAAAATTCTGTAAATCTTCAGTATATCATCTCAATGTAAATTGCTACACTCGGCGTACATTGTCACGAACTATTTTATCTTGAGTCACAAAGAAAGCAACTGATGTGTATTCTTCCGCGGGGGTAGACAGAACCTCTTTGTAAAGGTTAATTTTGTGGTAGTTTTTTGGATAAATTATCCGAGAATAAAATCGCGATATATTTGATACTCAAGAATCGTTGCTCCTCTACCGCTATGAAGTAAACTGAATCAAGAAAAAGAAAGTCACACGACACTATAACCTTGCATCAAATCACCGCCAAGTGATTATCACCTAGTACGCATAATAGTATAATCCGAAACTTTTTGCTTCCGGGTCAATGGTTAATGAGGGCGCTGTATACAAAATGGACGGGAGTGCAGAAGCGCGAAGTGTTTGAACGCAGTTGAAAATTTTTCTTTCAAGTTAGTATTGTGTAGTTATTTTCGTCTCGAAGTTCCTGCTAACTTCAATGAATTTTGTTTCCTCATTATATGGCTGCCCGTCAACATAATGGTGAAACAAATATACTGTCCTGAACATTAGATTTGCTGCAAAAATTGTTGAAGTGTTTTTACTGGCATGAATGTATAATAGCAAGGATTGATAATATTAGTGCTGGCAAAGTTTTGATAAAGGATGAAGATATCACATGAATTGAAAAAGTCAAGCCAATTGTGAAATGGTCCAAAAATCACAAGAGAAACCTACGTTTTTAGAAATCCTAAACTTTGCGTGCTCATCTGCAGTTTGTGATACATGTGTTTTTGAGTACAACGATAATCTTATAAATCTTTGCTTTAATACACAATTGTACATTTCCAAGCACCCACTGAGTGCTGTTACACTATTGCTTAGAACTTTGTTTGATTGGTGTCCAAGAAGTGTCACTTTCAAATGTTTTGAGACGCTTATTCTAGATCGTTATCACATATAGAAGTTGCTTACCCTTTTCTCATAAATCTTTGTTAATACCTGTTATATCTTCATGAATTGGGAAAAATATGTAAAACCATCATCAAGGATTATTATATATACGGGTATGTAACTAGTGTGATAAAGAATAGAATACTTTATTATCATCGTAAAGAAAATTTGACACTTTTTTGGCATACATGATAATAATGATTTGGTTAGAAAACGGTCTAAATGTCAGCAGAAAATGTTAAAGAAATGAATGGTGAAATTGTACAGTTGCCATGAATTTTATAATGAGTTATCTACTCTGAAAGAAACTGTTCTTGTATTTCATAGGCAGCAAGAATGTAGTTAATTAATTCTATTACCAGTTTTTTGTCATTGCTGCTCATTATAAGTATAAATTTATTTTCATCAGATGAGGAATGTAAATGAGAAAGCATAAATATACATGATGAAGATGCTAATTGAAATCACCTGAATTACAATATCATCAAAAAATCACAACAACAACTAATTAATGGCTGTCCGAGAAATAGTTATATGTTTTGAATGTTTGTTTTTTCGTTGTGCAGAATGCATGTATTTTTTAATAGGGCAATAACTCATTTCTGTTTCCACAATTGAAACATTCCAAGTTTCATTGTGTTCAGTTGATCTGGATGAATTTGATTGACACACCTATTTGTAGAACTCTCTCGGAATGAGATCTTCATTGCATAACGGTATCACTATATAAGCATAAATATATATTTTGCAGTTACGAAACTACTCTGATGTAGCCTTGGTGCAATGTGGTAAACTCTGCTAAGTAACCACACTTATTGAAATTGTATTGTCGGCGAAATTTATTACATGTGCGGATTAAATTTAATGGAAAATACTTCACTTTAGTTTTATATTGTATAATAATCCATTTTTGATAGTCAAACAGAGAATTGGCTATTGGCAAGTAACTTCTGATGCAGATATTTTGTGAATACTACAGCTGTTGCATTTAATGCAGTTCACATTTTACCTGACAAAACTTTGAAACAACAATTTGCCATCTTGTTTAAATGCACCTGAAATAATTAGATTGGTGATAAAAGGAATATGGCAGTGACTGTGATTCTGCTAAGGGATATTGGCTTATTCAGCCGAAGTCTCTGTACGTACTCGTACAATGAGTAAATACCATTTGAGTTTATAAATACTGAGAATTATTGTTCATAATGTACATAATTTTTTTCAGTGTAATCAGAATTCAATTTGTGATAAATCGTTGCTGTTAAACCTAATGTCATGTACTGTATTTACTCTATTAGTAGCTCATTGTTAGGCTGTTGCATTATCACTCATACTATAATTCCAATTCACATTTTTAGTTTGTCCATCAGCTAAACTTGTAAGATAGAATTGATTCCCTCGCACTGATAACTGAAAATCTAATGTTCAAGTTTAGCGCTTATAGAAAACACTATAATCACACCTATATGTAAGCGTATTTAGAACGTGTTTAGTGTTTATCTTTTAGGGCAATGGACAATGTTGTACTTCGTGTTGAAGATGTGCCTCCACCAGCAGCCAGACTCATCAATGTGCTGTGCTGTTCTAATAAAAGAAATGTCACTGTGCTGTGTGATTTCAACACAGTATGCATCACAGCAATACTGACAAAGGATGGTGAGTGTGTGATATATTTGTGAGAAGAGAAGTGAGTAAAATTGGGTCTCTTTTTTCATGCCCAACCTCTTGCCATGAAAAGCATCAATTCATTCAATTTTTGTTTCAGTTCATATAAAGCTGCGAGTTGTATTAAGTATTTAAAAACCTCTGCAATGTTTTAATTCAAACATGGCACAAAAAAGTTATAGTGTACATCAAATCAATGAAAGATGGCTGTGTGGAGGCCATTGTTTTTAAAATGCAAGACAGTTCAGGTGTATATAAGGCACCTCTTGATTACCGTTGATTGAAACAACATTGTGTACAACATTGACAAGCTTTCAGTACATATTAATCCTTCAGCGCTAAAGTAATCTTTTGTCGTATAATAATTATAAACAACAGAATTTTTTGCATTATTTTTCAAAAAAAATTGTGATCAAGAATTGTAACCAATATTAAATTATATCCATGTCGTGCAAAATTAAAAAAATTACAGAAAATGTGCCAACAATTTTCATTCAAATTTTGGCGAGAAAAAAATATGCTGTTCAAAGGGTTAAATAACAATTACTACGGTAGATGTTTGCCTGGCAATCTTTATTGATGTGACATATGTTCAAAAACATTAACAAAAAAAGAATTGAATAAGATCATATAAAATCATAAGCTCTCTAGAACTCTTTGGCAAATTGCCAGCTTTTTATGTAACTTTGTCTAAATAATTAAGTTCTTGATTTTGTGTATTCAATTTCCTTCTCTGTGATCGTTGGTCAGTGACTATGCTTTGGAGATTATTTGTCAGCTCAGAGTCTCACATCAACCTCGGATTAAATCTTATTTTGTAATGCAGTAATTTCATTAAAATTGGATGATCATTTAAGATTACCTGTATTGGCAGTGAATATGATTACAGGTATGGGGAAAATGTTTCCGAGATTTGGGTCTGAGGATGAAACATGCATAGATTGGGAGCTTACAAAAGTTGACAGTGGTTGTGGGAAGGTTGATTTGTTTGTTTGTTTGTTCATAGACTACTTCAGGGATTCAGTATTTGTATTCCCTTGTTTGTAGCCTGTCATACCATAATTACAAAAAATCGTCCTCCAAATATCTATTATGCCATTGCATGGCAGATAAATGTTGGTTTGAAATACTCCATAACATCAGAAATTTGCTTTCATTTGGCTATGCATGCTATAAACCAATTTTGAACAAGCCTATATCACATCTACCAATAACAAGCAAATAGATTGATTGGCCATCAATGCCAGGTGAAAAGGTATTTTTGTTCTTAAAGCTGGTGTCAGATTTCTTGACCCAAGCACCTTGATCCCCTAGTGATCTAAACAGTCAGTACTTTAGCTGGCAATGTTGCTGTTTTTGCATCTGAAACATTATAGAAGTAAAAAGTTATAAAAAATGTTTGTAAAATTTTGATTTTTAGGAGCTAACACAATTACCGTGATCAAAAAACTTGTATTAGAAAAAGGAGAGCATGCTGAATGTACAAGCTGGTCACCTGATGGTAAAGTCTTGGTGATAGCAGGAAGAAAATTACATGTATTTAATGTGAGTATTCGTAGGCAGTACCGAGTAGTTTTCATCACATAGTTATACAAAGATGTGTCACACGTGTTTACTTCGTGATAGTGTAGGGGTTATACAAGCATATCGCATTCAAATTACTTGCACATGTTGTGAAATTTCAAGCAAAAGCATTAGTAAAATACATGGGATAATAGATTTGGATTTGAATGATGAAATGAATGAGACAAGTTGTATAAAATTAACAGATTTGTAGCTCATCTTTAAAAATACATGGATATGAAATACTACCGTTTGATGATTTTATGGCTTTCATGAAGACAAAATTCCGAAAATACTGCTGACACTCGTGTCTTGTAGAACCCGAGAGAAATCTTCACTGCAACAAAATTTCTTGTTTTTCACTGACTGCAAATTTATCTATTGTGAAATTAAAGCGTAGTATACAGTTAGTTGATTCACCGTCATCCATTGATTTGTTACTTTCAGTTAATATGGCATGAATAACTTCTTATGAATGTATATCATTAATTTTCTAGAGGTAACACATCTCAATAGTATAACCAATCGTAAAATTGTTGTTATTCATTTAAATGCCAGAGGCTACTTTTGTCGCCTTTCATGAAATAAACCTGCAGAATTGTTTTTACATTTTGTTAAAAAAACCTGTAGCCTATGTGAAATTGTTCCCATTTGGTTTAAAAGTAATTTTATCAAAAATACATTAAAATTTTGACGAAGAAAAAATTCTGGCATTTAAGGGTTTTAATTATGTAAATACATAAATAAATAATAGCTGTAAGTTTTCAGTTTTGTCTGCAGAAGTCAGATTATAGCGGATGAGATTGATGTTTAAATAATTTATTGACTAGATATACGAGTCATATATTGTAGCTGATGGCGTTCTCATTTTGTTAGAAATTATTGAAATCCAGACAATTTGAATAAATAATTTTTTTTATTATTGAGTCATTTGATCTCTCTCACTAGATTAGGTTTCTGAGCGCATCATTGTCTATAATTTCAACTTCCTGTTAACAAAAAGATAAAAAGAAATCCATCTACGAGAACCCCGATTGTACGTTTAGGATTTCTTAACCATTTGAACACCTTAGTTTATCACTAAATGTATTTATTTTAGTTATTTATATTAACTATAAGCTAAATAAACATTTTTAATGAAACAATCCAGGAGTCTTTTTAGACTATGTCTGAATTTCCCAATGCGATAGATAAATTAGCCTAAAAAACATGAAAGCTAAACATTGTTTTTAAAACACTTGTGTGTGAGCTCTATTTAAGCCCATCTTATATACTTTATAATTAAAATATTACTTGTACTGACCGTAGACACACCTCTGTCATTTACATAAACCTATCCTTTCTTCAGCATATTGCTCAGAAAATCTATTATTTTGAAAAACTACCTTTATCTCATCATTTATATACCCTACTCTTCTGACCTAGCACCAAGGGTACCCTGTTTTGGGCAAAAAGTATGCAAATGATTTTTTAGTTTTTAGTTCAAAATGTGCCAGATTGGGGGGTATATCAATTCTTTAAAATTAGTTTTACAATGAGTAAAAAATACACACATTTTATTCCAATATTAATTACGTCCCACCGGAATTTACTATGTTAAAATTATTAGGGTCTGTGCGAACACAGTCAAAATCAAAATCTTCATCATTGTCAATGTGTTCAATCATTTGCTAACTCTCGATGCAAATCTGCCATGTTTTCTTGCATGATTGTCCTGCAACAACATCCCTCGACCAGATGGGTAAAGTCTGTTAAGTGTGATTTTTGTCCTAAAATTGTGGGATGGACGCATGTAGTATACATGCAAACAAAATTTGGAAAATATTTTTTTCATCTACGAGTTATTCGAGTATGTTTCCAACCAAATTAATACTCGTACTCTCATGCACTAATGAGAATTAAATGGATACTATTCACCCATATAAATAATATATAAATGGCTTTTCCAAACATCAATAGAATAATATAAAATGAGTTCCAATGATGTTTTTTTTTATAGACTGGTTTTCATTAAAATTGAGACAGTCACAAATAGTCTTTTATAATGCCTTCGTCATGTACCTTCATAAATGTTTTCCAATATATTTTAGGGAAAGCCATTCTGTGCTATTTCTGTTTCCTTGCCATAGATTATTAAAGGTTTTATTATTATTATTTTCATAATTTACTTGTATTTATTTACCTTAGCTACTTTTTTTATTGATTTCCCTGTAATATTTAAAATCTATGGCGAATAAATTTTATTATTCTTAAACTGGTGTCGATAAAACATTATTTTTATCTTTAGTTTCACTCCTTATAATGAGTGAAGTTTGAATCATGTCATGGATAATTTTTTTTGTCGCAAACCTCTTTTCAAATCTTTTCCTTGCAGATGGTAACACTACGTATGAATGTGACATGGACTTGTGTTCGGTGCATCAAGTTCAGCATTGAGGTTGCAACTTAACAATCTCTATAGATTCTGCATGATTTTAACAAGAGGTTAATTCCACAATATCATTTGAAATTTTCAGGCTCAGAATGATTTCAAGAAAATGGCCACTTGTGTCTTGTATTACAGTGCCAAAGATGTCAGTGTCAGTTTGCTTCCCGGACAACTCGAAAATCACCAGGTATTTATAGCATTATGTATCTTCAGATTGTAACCTCTGTCAGACCTACAGTATGGACACTGATGGCATCTATTAAATATTTCCTAGATCTGTGGTTACTATGGTGATGTGATAAGAGTACATTTGATATCAAGCATTTTTCAGCATTAATATTTTACAACTTATAGATATTCTCTTCTTTGATCGTGCCTCCTAGTTTCTGTTAATGGTTTGTAAAATACCTCATTCTTGAGGCTCGTACATAATTTGGTCTATATTAGAGATTTGATACTATTTTCTGCAGTTTTAAAATCATCGTAGTGTGCACATTTCAACTTTGTGTAAACGAACAATGTATTTTACATGTGTTGCATATGGTGCATAGGGTCCATATTGAACGTAATACAACATCACAACTGTGTCTCATGGGACCCACATCAAACAAGATATCACAACAATAGTACATGAGACCCAAATTGTACATGATCATGTATTATCATGATGGTTCATGAGATCCATATAGAACATAATCTCACATTATCATAACAATAGTACATGGGACCCAACTTGAATATGATTTCATGATATTACAGCGATGGTTCATGAGACCCTTATGACTGCCCATTCAGACACAGTCCGAAAACAAGGACTTATGGATTGTGCGATCAGATACAAGATGACTGAATGTTAATCATTTCAGTGTTAAAAAATCATCATAATCGATCATACCGTGATTGGCATGGTAGTTTGATTCCTGCTTTTACAAGAAAACTTGCATTAATTACAGAGTGTGTGGCCGCTGAACATATGAAACATGATGGTTCGCACCTTTTCTATTCTGATATTTACTCAGGATGAACCCCGATGTTGCAATACAGAAAAAAATGTTTCTTTTGAGTAGTATTTTTAGAAACGCCAAAAATGTGATCGAAATCGGATCGTATTTTAACATCACGGTAATTCACTTCCGCATTGCGTTGAAAAAATGACTTCGTCAATAATCAGAAAACTTCGTCTGTACGACACAGCATTTTGATTGGTTAACGAAAGACGTGACCTGTTAGGTCAAAGGAAGATGTTCAGGTCAAATCATGATGAAAAACACCATGGCAGACATTGCGTGGACGGGTTTCATGTTCTCTGCAGGTAATAAGCTCTGTTATTAAGCATCCTTTTTTGGGGATGCCCAGTGGCCGAGGGGAAGACGTGTAGTGGCATGAAGCGCCGGTTCGAGTCACGCACGCAGTACGTGTTTACTATAATTTGACGTAGTATTTACCTTGCCGTTTATTCGGTGTTATTTGCTATGTAAACTTTAAGCCCACTTAAAGCTAGCAAAATATTACTTTAATACAACGCTTCATCAGTAGTTCCAAATTTAACAAACCAGCATAAAGAACTATACATATGATAAATATCTCTTACCACTATAGTTCTCTTAAGGTAGCGAGAAGGGAAATTTTAATTTTTTTCTTAATTTTTCAAAAAATAATAAAATGGTTACTTTAGACCTTGATATGTCATCCCAGCTTTTCAAAAGATAAAAATTTGGGAAAGACACTGCTCAAATTAGTGTTTTTAAAGCTAGCACAAATAACTACAACTGCTGTTTTGTGGATATTTGCATAATGTTTATCTTTGAGATAGTTTGAATGATAACATCTTATCTGTACACTCAGTTGACGATTCTGATATAATCTTCCCGTCGCAAACAATGCATGCTTACCTAACATCCATTGTCAGCATTATTGTCAGTCAAGACTTCGTCGAAAAAATATGGTCATAACTTAGTGCGTCTTTCTTTTAAATCTTTTATTCTATTTTACTTTACACTGCAATGACGAGGAACAGAAAGAAAGTGAAGACATCAATGACAGACGAGGAAAAGAAAAATCTGCAACTCAGTTTACACACACATCATACATCTTGGGATACATATACACATCCATTTATTCTGATTCAAAATTGATCAAAATCAAGCATTTCTGCTATTCCAAAGCCGCATCTTGGCTGTGCATGGATGGATTTTGTTCAGAATATAATTAAACTTTGATGCACATCATTTTGTATTTTAGATCGGATTCAAACAAACTAACTGGCAGCCATTTTTTTTATCAAATGCAGTTCCAGAGCCATATCTCTGGCATTTCATGACCAATCCTGTTCAAACTTTATAGATACATCATACTTCATGTTGCATATATGTACACATATTTATTAAACAATCAGGTTCAAGATGGCCAAATGGCAGCCATTCAAATTTTAAAAAAATCAGCAAAATCAAGCATTTTTGCAATTCTTGTTTTTTGTGGTTTAACTGTAAGGAGAGGACACATTTCAAATTAATTTAAACAGTGTTCGTAGAAAGAAACAGTATTTTATCAAATGTGTATCTGTAAACAGACATATATGACTCATATATGAGGGTAAAATCATCTGTTGTAAAATTAAACTCATGGCACCAGTAATTTCCGGATTCATATCATAGCATTGTTGTTGTTGCAGTATTGCATCGCTGTTGCCGGCCCTAATGGGGTTGAAATATACAAGTATATAATGATAGATGATTGGTGTCAAATAGCAGATGATGACGTTGTACCGCTACATGTAGAATTACCGATAGCTACTCTGAAATACTCCTCAAATAGCAAGTACCTGGCAGTGGTGAGTTGAATAGTTTTGTCCTTTAAATAATTGCATTACTTTTACCCGACCTTTTTGACTATATATACAAATTATGAGGTTCACGGTAATAGATCACTCAAAGGTAGGATTGAAAGGTAGTTTAAATTTGTTTTTTGCTTTTGATGAACATGTTTTTATTATTTGCATGCAGGTGTCAGTGGATTCTTAAATTGTGCATGATTCACTTCATGAAGGGATTGTCATTGAATATTTTCTGTGTGACTGTGACGTTTTTGGGACTACTTTATTGCATGCGTCAGAATACATACTTTTGTAATGGTGTTATGTCACCTGATCACCCAAGTGTATTGATATGTAAAAAGTAGTTTGAATGCATACACTATCAAGCACCCTCATGCTG